ACTGGGCATCAGCAACGCTTCAGTCGTACAGCATCCAGACTGAATGGGACGTAGATGTCGGTCCAGCTTTCCTTGAAGTTGAGGAATTTGCGTCGAGCATGGTACGATGCAAAGCAGCAGGTCCTGACAGTTTGTCACCTGGAGTTTTCAAGGATGGAGGTAGGAAATTACTGATAAAAGTGACGAAAGTACTAGGTAGTGTATGGGAATCAGAGGTAGTGGCGTCAGACTGGTCTACTTCACTGATCATCCCAGTCTGCAGGCAGGGAAAGAAGTTTTGTGACAGCCATGGAGGAATTAGCTCGACCAACATTGTGTTCATTATCCTAGGATCCATAGTTAGCTGACACCTAACTGGAGCTCGAGAAAGCCAAGCATGTTTAAAACAAAGCTGGACGAGTGTGCATCGATCATATTTTTATCCTGTTGCGGGTTCTGGAACAGGCATACTTACCGACAAGTGGCCAACACTTGCCATATTTATTGATCTGAAGGCGGCATCTGACTACATCGACTATGAGGCGTTGTGGCAGTGTCTGATTGTGAAGGGAGTACCGAGCAAGTATAGAATGCTTATCAAAGCCTTCTACTTGAACTCACGCAGCCGTGTCAGTACTTATGGAGAGTTGTCAAGTGAGCTGACAACAGCTGGTGATGTCCAGCAGGGGTGTCCACTGTCACTGTTCTTATTTAACTTCGTCATAGACGCACTAATGGACATGAGCTTATGTACATCTGACTTCACAGGGATCGATCTACTCCCTGGAGGTCACCTAGTTGACTTGGGATATGCAGACGGTATTGTCCTGCTAGGGGGAGATGCTGACAAAATGTAGGGTCTTCTGAACACCTTGAGCAGAAATCTGTGTATGTTTGGCATGCGTTTCGCACCTGTCAAATGTAAGACGATGTTTCAAGACTGTTCTGGTGCAAGTATTTCTAGCTTAATGATAGGGAGTGAAGTGTAGCAATGCGTCGACCGCTCCACTTAATTGGGGAGCTACATCAACCCCGAACAACGTGATTGCAGACGAAATCTCAGTTTGCATGAAGAAGGCTTGTTTGGCATTGGCCAGCTTACGTCACCTGTGGCATCGGTGAGATACCAGGCTATATATTAAAGGACGAGTGTACTGTTCTGCTGTTCGTTCTGTCCTGTTGTACAGCTGTGAAACATGACCACTAGAAGTAGAAGACATGATGCGGTTACAAGATTTCGACGACAGGTGTTTTCGTAGCATTGTTTGCCTGTGGTGGGATCACTGTGTGAGTAATGCCGATAGATATCCAAACCAAGTTGCGATTCAATGGTTTGAAACAGATTTATTTTGTTTTACATTCATTGGGAAATACAAATACCAAGATAATGAGGAATGCTGAGTTGAGGCGAAGGGTATTAGGGAAGGCAGCCAAGTCGATCGATGAGCTTGTGAGTTTTCATCGACTGAGATGGCTTTGACACATACTTTTGATGCCGATCAACTGTCTACATCGCCGGTCCATGATACAGAAAGCTGGATTAGTTTGAAAGCGTGTTCAGGGTGGCCAGACCAAGACGTGAAGTCTCTTACTGTTGGTTTGAGTTGTATAGGGAGATGTAGACTGGCTGGTTTTGATCCCCGAAACGGAAGGAATCAGTGGTTGAGGACTATTGGTGAAATGGCTGGAAATCGATGACAATGGCGCAGATGTATTCACTCCTTGACATCTTCTAAAGCTTGAATATTCACACTAACCTTTGTCTTCAGATGGTTTATTCTCTCACACAACTTTGTGTACTTTGACATCAGTCTTTTTCTATCCACCTGTTCTTTGCAAACCACTGTGAAGTGTGGCAGCGACTCACTTATGTGCGAGGTTCTACAGTGATTCTCTCTGTTTGCCTGCAAAGTTGCATGGGATTACTTCACATAACTTCAGTAGCTGTCAGCGTTCTACAACAGCGTAAATAGTCTTTCATACATGAAATATTTTTTGTTACAGTGCATAGGGAGTGCATAGAGATAGATACATTGAATATATTTGAAGAAGTTTCACAGCACCATGGTAATTAGTAATTCAGGTATAAAATCAAAGAGATCTGCTTCAAAGAAATCACGAATCAAAAGCGGTAGTCGAGGATCAAGTCAGTTATTCATTAATGGAGATAAGACATCTGGGATCGTTTTTCCATCCTCCATTGCCTTGAAAAGTATTATAAAGTGGGTGGATGAGTTTTCCGAAATATACTTCATTTCCTGAAGACACAAACTAGTTTTACTCAGGTAACTGAGATTTAATGAAATAGAAATATTTCACCAATTGTAAATATACTTATCGTTGGTTGAGTGTAACCTTTTGTATCACTAGAAGAAAATAAATTTATAGGATTGTACTTCATTTCCTGAATACATATGCACTGGTCATAAACATTTTCTACTGAGTGACAAATTTATATTTATTTATTTGTCCCTTGGGTTCCTAATGGAACATAGGGCTTCAGTAGCACGTCTCCAATGCGCTCTGTTTTCTGAAATCTTTTGAACCTAGCTCCACGACAGCTCCGAATCCCAGAGGATTTTGGTCGTTTACATAGATTTTTTAAATTATTGGCATTATCATTTTACAAATCGTAGTTGTTTATAGTGTACCGCAGGTAATAAATATTCTGATGAACAGCTACATAACTCAGGTCAACATAAATTCTAGTAGATTTTTAAGATTATATTTCTGTTGGTAAGAGTGTTATTTTTCCTTTCATGTATATAATTTCTTTGATGACGTTAATTTTCGCAGTTACAATTGTTGCTGTAGTGTGTATACTCTTAAATTTGTCAGTTTACTACTTAGTTTTTTCATAACCCTAATAGGTGGCCAGACTGAAACATGGCACCAATGTATGAAATCTCTGACTGTTGGTTTAAGCCATGTAAGGCGATGCAGATTAGTCGGTTGAGGTCCACGGGACAAAAGGAACCAGTGGTTGGAGACTCTAGGGGATATGGCTCAGAACCGATGTGAGTGGTGCAGATGTATACACACATCATCCTCATCTTAACGACGCTACACTGAATCTCACCATTTTGTCATTCCTCTTTTCTTTCTTCTCGTACTTAACATTTCTTTTGACTGGTTTCTCTTATCTTCATCCTTCACTTCACTACCTTTGTACTTGATGTACTGATATTAGGTGTGGCAACTCGGACCGTTACGCAGTAATGCCTGGTCCTATGTTGATATTGAATGGTTGATTGATTAACCTTAATAGACACTGACATTGTCTTCTACAACCGTTTTGCTTATGAGCTAGTACTACTCTGTATTTTATTATTGAGAAGTGAATTTTTTTCAAAGTATAGCGGTTTCTTGCTTTACCAATGAATAACAGATTCCGATAAACTTTGGAATCCAGTTGGAGCGATTGATTGTACAAAGTGTATTCTATTCGTAATCAGTCGTAATGGTTTCGAAGGTTTATCAATAAAAAAATGCATAGTAAGTACATTGATTGGTAACGTGAGAGCAATCGGTTTCATATTGTCTAGTCCTGTGTTTTGACCGAATTCTACCGATCAATTTCGCAATGTGGTCACCAAGCTAGGGAGGCTCAGTATCGCGATGCACGTTTCTACTCGGTTGAAGGCAATTGGAAGGAAGCCCCACCGGTTGATCTACTTTCGTGTTTCTTGGTACTCGTCAGCCAGGCGTATCTACAAACTCGACGTAACTAAGATCCTGCCAGAGGTTTGAACCCTCGTCACCCAGTGTTGTAGTCAACAACGTTATGATCGATAGAATTCGGTCAGCACTCAGAACTAGATAACTTGAGGTTGGTTGCTCTTCCGTGACCAATCAATGTAACTCAGTCCTACAGGATGTCAGTCGCGGCCTCGATGTTATCATCGACGCGGGTTCGAATGTCAGGCGAGACATCAGTTTAATCAAAGTTGCAGGCACACCTTGCGGACGAGTGCCAAAAACACGAAACAGAGGTCAATCGGTGGGGCTTTCTGCTGATTGCCTCCAACCGACTAACAAATACATAGTAAGTATCAGCTAGTCTCTAGACGTAAATTCCCCCACTATGTTACGAGTTGTTAGCAATGATTAAAAATTCCCCACCGAATAGAATAAATTAGGCAAGTTCATGCAATAATAGACTGCATGTATCACTGACTGAAAAAAGTTAGAATTTCAAATAATCTTCAAAAACACTAAAAGGGTGTTAAAATAGGTCAAATGGCTAACGTCAATGCCATTACGAAAATGAACAGAAATTTTTTCTATTGACTTTAAGTTGGGATTCATCATAGACTGACATCAGTTAGAAGAACATTGGGAACCTGGGAGCACTAGGCAACTGTTTCGTCCTAGTATGGAACTACAGCAGTGCGCACCCACAACCCCACCAGAGATCGAACCTAGGACCTTCGGGTTCCGTGACCAGTACGTTACCATTGAGCCACTGGGTCGGAATCCAATGGTCCACATTCCCTACTTCCGTCAGTTCACGATATAGTGCCACGTACATCCAATATCGTCGTTGAGTAACTGTCCACACGGCCACCAGTTTTGCCCCACTGATCACGACTTCTCGAAGCTAGTCTTACTAGTGACTATACATATACGTATATGTATACGTGAAAACTGATTTTCCAACTAGGTATCATACTTATTAGGCTATCAAATGCATTTTTCTTTCAAAAAAGTGTGTAATTGACAGCGTCTGCATTATTATTTCTAACAGATTTTTGTGCCTAACCACCCATTCTGGAAATGATCACAACATACTTGTATAGCTCAAAACTACATGTTCACCTATGATAAAGACAGCACTCATACGCAATAAATATGTTATTCGCCATACTTTTTGTTTAACAGGTTGGTAATGCTTCTTTATAGTGGCATGATAAATCAGTTCCAGCCTGAAATCTGATAATCAACCGTTTAAACTAATGAACAAGCAGGAAATAGAATAGGTGCTGTAATCAAGATGGTATGAGTCTTGAGAATGGTCATTATAAAGATAATATGTATACATGTATTTCGGCATAAATTAAATATACTAGTCCTTTTTATAGGTACACATACAAACAGAATCAGTAGACGATAGATTGAAAAACAACCAAACGAAACTAGTGCAAATATAATCACTGAAACAAACATAATAATTAGACTCAGTTAAAACAATAAAAGAAAATGAAGTGAGTGACTTTGAAATGCTATTTACGTCCAAAGGTGTATGCAAGAAAAAAGAACACTTAATGACTGAGTAGTCGATGCAAATTCACCTTGGGATGAGGTCATTATTTTATTTTAGTTAGAAGGGAAAAGAAAAACTGAACATTGAGAATAAAATGCATGAATAAAAGTATAAGAAGCAAGTCGAAAAAAATCATGATGGATATATAAATCACTAGTTTCTTATCATCATCGACAATACCATCATGGAAGACTGTACACATTTTAAAACAGAGAAAGAATTATTATGAAGAAGTCATGAACGGCTGATGAATAGTTCGGAAAACTCCCTTGAATGTTTCTCTTCTTCCTTTCTTTTTCTTTTGTAGTGATTTGCTAAGAGAAGAGACTACGCCGACGATCTTCAAATCGTCCTATAGAAGAGAAAAATATGCTGTCAGATCATCATGATGAGAATGAATAAATGACCTCGTATAAAAATAATTTAATATCTTAAGGGGATAATAATTGAAACGGGAAGGAAACTTGGATCTCGAAATTTCATCTTTCTGAGTTTACAACAATAACTGGATAATGCTCAACAATTAGGTAAAATGTTACTAAAAAAATCATAATAAAGCGATTGACACTGCTCATTCAATATTATGCATGCGTTAACATGTAATGCTTCGTTTAATTCGAACTCTACAAATATATATATTTTTTCAGTAGGTCATCTTCATAAGTCTTTTTCTTATGATTTATTTGATTGGTCAATGACCATAAACGGTTGGAAGCAATCGACAGGAAGCCTGCCGTAAATACACCATACTTGTTGTTAATCACAGATCTAATCAGCTGTACATCAACGAGTAATTCTTTTGTGAATATCGTTCAAGTTACAAGCATTCGTCTCACTCTCTGGGAGAGTATACAAATGGATTTAAGTTTAAAAGTCACTTCATTCAAAGAAACATTTTTGATTATTTCATGCGAATTTAGTCTTTACATCAGATCCGAAACGGAGAATAAAGCGATTGATTTCGATATGGGCGAAGATGAACAAAGTTAGCGACCTTACAACTGCCACACTGAATGGGTGTTCAGGTTTGCATATCAAATGACTTAACGAGCCGTGCTGGCTGGAACGCTTATTCTTCGAGGTTTTAAAATACTACGAATGTCTGTTGTATAGTAAAAAGAAAAAAAACAGTTACCAGCTACACTATCCTGAGAGTTTGAGGGTGAAGTCGTACTGCTAGTTGGACAGAGATATGACAACAGTAAGGTGTTTCCCACTGATGACCAGGAATCATGCATATGTTGCCTTCCCTATGGAAATGTGAAGTCGGCCTCCAAAATGGTATACTGCTCCTTATCTTCCGGTGTCGATGGTTGGGCTTTTCTAGCCGCACTCAAAATAAACAAATCTAAATCTAAAATTCTCAAGTGGCTGCATGTGACCGACTTCAACGAGGTGTTTCTTGGGCTCTGCTGTCATACGCCACTATTGGTAATCCCTATTCTCTTTCAGGTACCTCAAAGAAACAGCTTCCACGTTGTGGCCAGCCAGGAAGCATCAGACACCTATAATAAACCCAACGTACTCCAGTATTAGGCCTCACCCTGCGACCACTGCCATAATTCAAGCCAGCAAAATACCATTCCTAGTCTCATAGGTAGTAAATCAGGCACAAGGTTTCACATCGCAAAACACTGTAGAGTCGAACCACCCATTTAGGCTGTTTCTGCGTCATGCATACAAGACCAAATTGATGAGTTGTCACTGTCTAGAAAGAAATATGCAGGTATTTGTTTACCTATAGTTAAGTCATGTCTAACCGATGTTCTGATTAGTTATTGCTGTTCTGCAACTTTGATAATAAGCATGAAACTGTATTTCAAGCTAGGGCAATAATCACCAGAGCTAATGACGTAGATAACATTTACGGTTGGGAAATTATCATACAATGTAACTGGTTAATGCGATATACTCAGTGATGGCTGGCAAGGGAATGCATGAACGGTTTTTTTTATCCTTCTTTGGACTCATCAGTTCCTACTAAGCCTATATCCACCAAATAAACTTATCTATTCGGTAGAATAAAATCATCACCTTCACAAATAATTCCTCTAATTGTACTGTTAATAACAGAATAAGCAAAATAATTACCTGTAGATTGTCGTCCAATATTTAACCAACTAGAACGATTAACTGTTTGAGGTTTATAAACAACAGTTGTTGGCTTCACTTGACATTGATCAGTCATTAATTTAGTTGGACTAACAATAATATTTGAGTTAACTATCGGTTTAGTATTGGAAATATTATAACTGGTTTCAAATGCTGTTGATAATGGTCGACGAGATCCATTGTCTGCATGTAACAATCCAACAGATGTTTGATGAAAATAAGCCTGTATCCCATACATTGAATTAGATGTAGACTGATGATGAGGCGGTAATGGTGGAGGAATATTGCCGATAGTATAATTGTATTTCGGGAAGAAATGATTATTATTATTGATGCTGTTGCTATTATTATTATTATTATTACTATTATTATTATTGATAGCAGTATTGTAGTTCTGAAGTTGAGGTATTTTACCATTATTACAATTTAAAAACGATATCTGATTATGATGATTTTGACTACTTCGATGCATAACTAAATTATTCAATTCAATTTGTGGTTGAGTAAGTTTTGCTTGAGAACTAATACCCCTTGAATTGTTATCACCATTATGTCCATTGATAGAGAAGTAATTTGATCCATTCATACGGTTTGTTGGTAGACTTGCACTTCGTCCAGGATCACATGCTAATCTTACTCCAGGAACATCAAATAAACTTGAAGCAGGTGGTAAACTGCTAAATGTTTGAAATGGGAACCGGGAACAATCAACAAAGTATTCATGTTTCAATGCATTTGCAGCAGAAATTCGTTGAGTCCCTGGGAAGATCAACAATTCTGCCATCAATCTATGTGCACGACGAGATAATCTTGGAGTTAAATGAGGAAGACCACCTGGTTCACCAGGATATGGACCATATTTAAGTGCTTTACTATAATCAGGATGAGTTGTAACACCTGGCCAATTAGTCTCATTTGGAGTACCTGAGTGAGAAAGGTGATTGATCAACAATTTACAAAATCAATTTTCAAATATGAATAAAATATTTTCACAAGATATAAGTTACTTTAGCTACATAAATTGTTATATTACTGGTAGAAAGATGAATATAACGACGGGATGAGATGGAGATCACTGTATATTGCAAAGTGACAGAAGCAGGATATGTGGACCATAACATGCTGACCGCGGAACCTGAAGGTCCTGGGTTCGACCCCTAGGGGGGCTGGGTTGTGAGTGCGCACTACTGAGGGGTCCCTTACTGGAACGAAATGGCTTTCCAGTGCTTCCAGGTTTACCCAACTGTTCTCAGCTCATGATTAATGCCAACGTGGAATCAAAAGTATATTTCCTCATTCAACCATTATAATTTCCTTTATTAAAAAACTGATTTCATAAACGGGTCATCAATTCTGACAGTTAATATCATTAGTAATACTAGTAAAATAATAAAACTTAATTTTTAAAAATAAATATAAGCGTAATAAAGTTGATTTAACTGATTGTTGGTTGTGGCAAAAGCATTTATTATTACTTGCTTTGTTTTATAAACGAAATCGAACAAGAATGACTCAAGAACTCATCCTATTGGATGTTCGACAACAATCTAGACAGAATAACTGTGATTAGGATTCTCCTGTTGATTAATAATGATGAAGAAAATTCACATAGTATCATCATCGATTCCAACATATATTTAACACACCAGTTGAAGAGATGATAATGCAAACCTATTCAGGTTGTAACTATCTCTCAACATCACTGGATGATCATGCAGTGTGAGATGTATGTTTATCATGCATTTCACAGCTGCCAACTGTAAGATGATGCTCTAGGACTGGTCTGCAATTAATTCCAGTTTAATGATGCAACCCGTCGACACATTCCACCGCTTCACTTCAAGAGTTGCATCATGTCGAACTGGATGGTTACTGACGAATTCTCAGGTCGGATACAAAAGACCCGCCTGGTATTTGCCAACTTGCTTCATGTATGGCGCCGGCTGAAGGGATATCCGACTATCTATTGAACGATGAGTATACCGAGCTGTAGTTCATTCTGTCGTAAGGGCAATGAGACATAGTCATTAAAAGTAAAAGATATGAAGTGGCTACACAGTTTCGATAACAGACCTCTTCGTAGCATTGCTGGCATTTGGTGGGATCATCGTGTGAGCAATGTTGAGATCAGGCGAAGGGTACTAGGCAAGACAGGTAACTCAATGGAAGAGTTGATGGATTGGACATTTATTGCGCATGCCTAGTCACTGCCTACATCGACGTCCCATGCTAGCAGAAGTTGGATTAGGTTAGCAGACAGCCAAGGGTAGCCAGACCGAGTCGTGGCACCAGTCCTTGATTGTTAGTGAGAGTCATGTAGACTACCTGATTGAGTTCTCCGAGATGATAGGAATCAGTGGTTAAAGACTCTTAGTGATGGCTGGAAATTGGTCACAGTGGTGCAAATGTATTCACTTCTTAATATCTTCTAAAGCTTAAATATTCGCGCTAACCATTATCTCCAAATTGTCTACTTTGATATCACCCTTATTCTATCCACAGGTTCTTTATATACTACTGTAAAGTGTGGGCAACTTGAACTGATGCACACGTGTGCAAGATCCTACGTTGATCTTGCCTGTCTAACTAGTCGTATTAAAACTAGAGCCTAGTATCCATTCCTTTAACTGTCACACACTTATTAATTGGGTTGTTGAGCTGTACAATCCATTAAACTTGAAGGAATGAACTTCGGTAATGATTACAATTTGTAATTAGCAGATGCCAGGTTTATTTAAATGGCAATCACTAATCAATTTTTACCAGTAATTTTCTAAATGCAGTTTATACATGCCTAGAAGTAAAAGCAAATAAAGGTTAGAACTCTTAAATCATTGGAAACCAAACCGTAGTTAAATTGATAAGTTATATACTAGGTGATGATTGAAGGTGGAATGAAAATTTGAATAGCGGCGGAATTCGAACAAGTGACCATTGGGTTTCCAGCTCCGTGATGCACCAAATGAGCTACGAGGTTCGACTGTTGACCACATTTTTATTTCATTTCGATTACACAGAGATTTGAACAACTTTACCTCAACTTCATCCACTTTGAAAAGGCCTTCAACAGCATCGACCGAGAAGTAATTTGCCAACTGCTTCAACACTAAGGAGTACCACAAACCTTTATCAACCTCATTCAATAGCTATATGCTATCTCATGCTACACGTAAAGTGATTCACAATAGAAAGCTCAGTGATACCATTGAAGGGAAGACAAGAGAGAGACAAGGTTACCGTCTAATATCACCGATCATCTTCCTGATTGTGGTCGACTCGACTGCATCATGCAACAAACTGTGAGAAGCGAAAACATGGGCATACGCTGGCCCGACCGATGAAAAGACTCCAAAAGAAGATTTAGATTTCGTCAACGATGATGATTTATGTCTAATGTCTTGTGGCACAAACTCGAAGATGCACAGGCGAAAAGTAACAAGTTGACAGAAGAGGTGAGGTGAGGCGAGGCAGCGAAGGAAGACGCGACTTCGTTCAGGTGAACGCAGAGAAGACAGAGGTGATGAAGATACCCAAACAACAACAGCAGCAGCAAGAAGCACCAGTCATCATGAAGGGGAGAAACCTGAAGGGAGTTGTCTCTTTCACCTACCTACCTACCTAGGCAGCATCGTTTCAGCCACAGACGGTGGCGGCGGTGGCACAGATGAGGATGCTGAAGCAGCCAGGATCGGAAAGACAGCAAGACAGGTCTTCCTTCATTAGTCTGAAATAATCAGTGTGGAAATTTACTCCACTGCACTGCACTGCACAGCACTGCACTCAGCGTAAAGCGTGAACAAGATCCAGATATTATTAGCACTAATGTCAGTCAAGTCAGTCAGTCCTTCTGATGTGATGGTTGAGAGACTGGACACGTTACGTAAAGCATTCCCAACAAACTACAGACATACATCATGAACAGCTGCCGCCTACACTCGCTCGATACTGAAGATCAGATCAGGTGGCCAGAATAACAAGAATAAGCAACTCTGGTTGGCTGGCTGGCTGGCAACGAACCAACAGCCTATCACCCAACAAATATACAGAAGAAAAAAGTGGAGATGCATTGGATTGGACATACATTGAGAAGACGGATTGGAGGCATCACGCACCAGGCCAGGTCGTCGATTGGAACCCAGAGGGGAAACGACGAGTTGGGCGTCCCAACTGAGGGTGACATGGAGGAGATGGTATGAGGAAGAAATGAAGGCTTTTGGGCAGACAGTCGTGGAGCGAGGTTGAGAAGACTGGAGAGAGAAGAGAGTGGAATGATGACGTGCTACTGAAGTCCTATGTTCCACTAGGAACCGAAGGGATAGATAATAAGGTTATTTGTATGTACTAGCCAGTTCTTCCAGGTCATCATTAACCAGCATTCGTAAATACTTCATTCCCCGTGTCATTCATTCCATAACTGATTCAAAAGAAACTCAGATTTGTTGTTTAGATGCGAATTGTTTAACATGTAAAAGAAAATATGACAGAATAGTCAACAAACAGATTGATGTCAGTGAAAACTGTACGTGCAGTTGGGAATCACAATATAAAATATTCGTATGTTTTGCCAATACTTACTCTCTAACCAAACAAGAAGACAATACCTTCTAATATTTATTAATATTTGTGTATTGTCGTGAGTATGTGACGGAACTGTTGAGTGAATGTTAGCCTTCCTGGGTTTATAATACTAGATTAAAGAGGCAAACGACTAAATGGAGAAATGAATTTTGATTGAATGAGATCGATGTTGCGTCTGTTCAGCTGCAATCTGTCAAATGTGAGAATGAGAACAATCGTTTCAGAGAAGTAGAATGAGTTCATTTTGTTCTAGAGTTTCTCATCAATCCCTTACAAGACAAAATCAACGTAGAACCTCACACATAGGTCCATCGCTGCAAGTTGCCACACTTCACAGTAGTTTTCAAAGAACAGGTGGATAGAATAAGACTGATGTCAAAGTACACAAAGTTGTGTGAGAGAATAAACAATCTGAAGACAAAGGTTAGTGTGAATATTCAAGCTTCAGAAGATGTCAAGGAGTGAATACATCTGCGCCATTGTCGTCGATTTCCAGCCATTTCACCAAGAGTCCTCAACCACTGATTCCTTCCGTTTCGGGGACCAAAACCAGCCAGTCTACATCTTACACAACAGTCGGGGACTAAATCTACTAATGCCACGTCTTGATTTGGCCATCATGAACCGTCTCCCAACTTAATCTAGCTTCCCCTAGCATAGTACGGTGATGTAGACGGTGGATCGGCATGGACGGTACATGTCCAAGCCAACTCAGACGGTGAAAATTTACAACCTTCAGCTATTTGCTATCTGTAAGAAACTTTAGCATGGATGAAAAACTTATAGCAACAATCATTGACTAATCTGATTCGTGTAACTAAATATCGGGTAACTAACTAGAATTTTCGAAATATTAGCAATAGCTGAAGGCTTTGAATGTAGCGCGGATATTAATCGATTGCATTCATATATATGAGCATCTACCTTTCTTCATTATCCTAAAAGCTTTGAACATCTTACTGAAATAGTAATGGTGGATAGTAACTAGCAGTATAATCCAGGATGCACATTTCGTCCTACTTGGAACTCATCAGCTGGATATACCTGCCTGCCACTGAGTGATGTTGTCCCCACAGGGATCCAGACTCTGGAGCGATCGCTTCGAACGCCAGGACGTTATCCACTACGCCACCGAGCCATGGTAGCAGCTTCTTGTGCGATGAGTATACTTTTAGTGTAATTGCTTGCATTATACCGTCGTTGGCTGGACCGAATTGATCCACTGCTAGCCACTACCCATCATTACTATAATTAGAACACAGGTAGTGTCGAGGCATCCACACGGGAGCCCATATGCCAATATTACTTTTTTTCCCCTTGGGTCCCTAGTGGAACATAGGGCTTCAGTAGCACGTCATCATTCCACTCTCTTCTCTCTCTAGTCTTCTCAACCTCACTCCACGACTGCCTGCTCACAAGCCTTCATTTCTTCCTCATACCATCTCCTCCATGTCACCCTCGTCGTTTCCCCTTTGTGTTCCAATCGACGACCTGGCCTGGTGCGCGATGTCTTCAGTCGGCCTTCTCAATGTATGTCCAATCCAGTGCATCTCCACTTTCTTCTCCTGCATATTTATTGGGCGATAGGTTGTTGGTTGGTTCGTTGCCAGAGTTTCTTGTTGCTGATTCTTTCTGGCCATCTGGTCCTCAGTAACGAGCGTACGCAGTTGTTGATGAATGTCTGTAGTTTGTTGGGAATGCTTTACGTAACGTGTCCAGTCTCTCAACCATCACATCAGAAGGACTGACTGACTTGACTGACATTAGTGCTAATAATATCTGGATCTTGTTCACGCTTTACGCTGAGTGCAGTGCTGTGCAGTGCAGTGCAGTGGAGTAAATTTCCACACTGATTATTTCAGACTAATGAAGGAAGACCTGTCTTGCTGTCTTTCCGATCCTGGCTGCTTCAGCATCCTCATCTGTGTCACCGCCGCCGCCATCCCTTCCTCCTAGACCTTCTGCAATAGTGATGTTAGCATTTCCGCTGCTGTTGTCTCTGCGTCCGCTGTCAGTGCTTCTGGTGGGATTCCACCTGGTCCTGCTGCTTTCCCGCGTTTCAGCAGCTTTATGGTGTTCAGGACTTCGACTTTTGTCGAAGGGCCTGTGTTCACTCGCAGTTCTGTGGCTGCTGGTGGTATTTCTGGACGACTTGCAGGTGGTGGTCGATTCAAGAGCTTTTCGAAGTGGTCAGCCCATCGTTTCCTTTGTTTCTCTTCTTTGGTAATTAGATTTCCTTCATCATCATTTATTGGTTTCATCTGTGTTGATCTCTTCCCAGATAGTAACCTGGTTATTTGATGTAGTGTTGTCAGGTCTCTCCTACCTGCAGCTTGTTCTGCTTCACTTGCCAGTTTGTCGTGGAAGTGTCTTTTGTCTTTCCGTGCACTCTTCTTCACTTCTTTGTCTAGTGTGGTGTTTAATAAAATGTGTTCAGTTCGTCTTTCCGTCGTTCATCCTTGCACCGGTTTATCGTCTGCTTTACCATCCTCATCTCCTCCATCAGCTTCCATGTGTGTGTGTCGAGATCCATTCCTCATCTTCTTCCTTCCTAACACGGTTATGCAGGTTTCTTTCCATATAGCTTTCAAAGAGTTCCAGTACTCATCCACACAGGTTTCTTCAGGAATGTTACTCGATATCTCCCATTTTGTCTTGATGCCTGGCTGCCGTGAAGATGTCTTTTGTAGTTTTGTCCTTCAGTTTTTGGGTGGATGTTGTACTTGAACTGTGGTTTATCTCCAACTTCCTTGAAGGCTAACAACTTGATTTGGAAGGTTCCTTGCACTAGATAGTGGTGTGAACCTACATCTGCTTCCCTTCTTGATACTGTGTCAAGTAGGCTGTCTCCATCTCCACTTTCTTCACATTGAGATGAAGTCGATGTGATGTTTAGTGTATCCTGGTGTCTGGTGAAATCAAATCCATGTCGCTTTGTGAATATCTTTTTGCTTGTACTCAGTGCCTCTAATTACTAAATCGTTGAATGAGCAGAAGTCTGCAAACAGTTCTCCGTTCTCGTTCATTTCACCGAGTGCTTCTCGACCCATGATCAGTTCTCTTCCTGTGTTGTCCACTTTCAGTTTGGCATTCATGTCACCACACCCATTTGAATGAATTTTGATGTCGCCAACTTGAGTGGGGTCTTGTCTAGTAGTGATTACAGTTGTCTGTAGAATTCCTCCTTCTTCTCTTCATCTGCATTATTTGTAGGTGCATAGCGTAGCATTGTACGATTGTGACTTTCCTTCCTTTTGAGTTGAATCTATCTTGCTGTCATCATCCTGATCCTGCGGGAGAAGATTGGTTCCCACTGCATGAGAGCTTTCGATAATTCTTGGGGACACCATGATAGCCACTCCATAACTCAGTGTGCTCGTGGTTGTCGTCTGGATGATAATATTGGAGTACATTATTGACTTTCCAGTTGAAAGTCTGGAGGGTCCACTTCCATTGCGTCTGCAGACTCCTCACAGATTCCTAACACTTCTATGCTATACCTTCTCATCTATTTTGCAACCTGGGCAGTCTTGGTAAGTTCATACATGGTGTGGACATTCCATGTCCCCATGTTTACTTTCGCTTTCATGGATAGAGAGAAGACAAATTGGCCAATAGGCTTCCCGAAAGCTTTCACCAACTGGCATCATTTCGTCTTTCGGATTCCAGTGAGGAATAAGTTTTTTTCTTATTTTTTATATTTTCTTTGTGCTTTGAAGTTCCTTTAGCGGTTGGATTTGTTTTTCGGGATAGGGTTGCTAGCCCTATGCCCAACCTTCCGTGTTTACCCGAGCTTAGGACCGGCTAGTAACTAGTGAACTAGTTAACCAGATGAGGTTATTTATACACTTAGTAAATTAAAAATTATTTGCTACTTTTTATTGATTTCAGTCAATTGTAAACTCATAACTATATCAATTCAATTGTACTACATCTACTCTATAAAGAATATTATACATTAATTCATCACTATAGGGGGATCGAAGTGCTGATTGAATTCAATGAATCATTTTTTGATATGGTCACCCAAACTAAATATTACGATAGTAGATGTTAGCTAGTTGGAGACTGGATTCAATGATCACATTATCCTTTTAACGAAATTCTTCAATTAAGAATACATTTAATTATTTATATTCTGATGATTATATTGAGACATTGATTTCAACTTTCATTTCTTCTAATGCATATTTTAATCAATCATTTGTTCTAGTTTTGTGATTTCTTCACTGTCTTCTTTATGACACTTATACACACTAAATAAAATCATTAGTTGGAGATTTCAGTCTAAAGTAGTAGTAGCCTTGCATTGATGTATGCTTTATTCTTTTCATCATTTGATTTTGACAACAAAAATACTACTGTGATAATTTTCACTTATTTCTGTTGATTTCCTTACATGTCTACCAGGTCATATGTTGTTTATCACGACCGTTTAATATAGACTACGAGGAATTTATACGTGGGTGTATTTATTATTTATATATTTCTCTGTTTGTGTGTGTGTGTGTGTGTATGTAGAGGTATAGTGTTGAGTTATTTTAATGATCGATGAATAATGTCACATTCTAATTCCTGTATTCCAAAATTGAATCCACTTGAAGAAGAGATTAAAATTTCAGTGGATATGGATACATGATACAGAATTTAATGAAATTTTATGCAAAATCTAATATGGAATTACACTCTACCACAATGTCCAAGTTTTTCGCTTATATTTATGCCAAATGAATTTCTGACTTCTTAATTGGATACTAAGGATGGATCATGACTAGCAGTGGAATCCAGGATGCGCATTTCGTCCTATTTGGGACTTGTCAGATGGATGTACCTGCCGGCTCCCAGTGAGTGATGTTGTTCCTATCGGGATTCGGACTTGGGGGCGATCGCTTGAAACGCCAGAGCGTTATCCACTACACCATCGAGCCACGATAGCCACTTCTTATGAGACGGGTATAGTTTTTAGTATAAGGGTTTTTATATGATACTGTCGTTGATTGGACCGAATTGATCGGTCTCCATTAACATATGGGTTCCTGTGCGGATGCCTCGATATTGCCAGCAATCTAATTATGTTAAGGATGGATAGTCTTATTTACTCACATGATTATCAGATGAAGAGATGAGTGCAAAAAAGAAACTGCCTCTCATTTGTTTACTCTTGTAACCATGTAATATATTATCATTTTGATTACGGAGACTAGTATTGATACTGGGTGATGATTGAAGATGAAAATTTCAACCGCGACCGGATATGAACCAGTGACCATCAGGTTTTCAGCCCAATGCTCTACCAACTGAGCTACGAGGTTCAACTTCTAACTGGATTTTGATTTCACTTCAGCCATCATGGATTTTGTCCGACTACCATGTGAATTCGTGATATGTTACTGCTGTTGTGGTGCAAATTTTCACTTCACCTTCAATTATCTATCACCTAGTATCAATACTAGTTTACCAAACCACGGCTATCTCTCTCAGACAGTCAAAATGATGAACAATGTGATGCTCCCTCTCTCTAATTCAGTTACGTTTAACACGCAACATTGATCTCATTCGATCAAAATTCATTTCTCCATTTAGTCGTCTGCCTCCTTTATCTAGTATTATAAACCCAGGAAGGCTAACATTCACTCAACAGTTCCGTCACATACTCACGACAATACACAAATATTAATAAATATTAGAAGGTATTGTCTTCTTGTTTGGTTAGAGAGTAAGTATTGGCAAAACATACGAATATTTTATATTGTGATTCCCAACTGCACGTACAGTTTTCACTGACATCAATCTGTTTGTTGACTATTCTGTCATATTTTCTTTTACATGTTAAACAATTCGCATCTAAACAACAAATCTGAGTTTCTTTTGAATCAGTTATGGAATGAATGACACGGGGAATGAAGTATTTACGAATGCTGGTTAATGATGACCTGGAAGAACTGGCTAGTACATACAAATAACCTTATTATCTATCCCTTCGGTTCCTAGTGGAACATAGGACTTCAGTAGCACGTCATCATTCCACTCTCTTCTCTCTCCAGTCTTCTCAACCTCGCTCCACGACTGCCTGCCCAAAAGCCTTCATTTCTTCCTCATACCATCTCCTCCATGTCACCCTCAGTTGGGACGCCCAACTCGTCGTTTCCCCTCTGGGTTCCAATCGACGACCTGGCCTGGTGCGTGATGCCTCCAATCCGTCTTCTCAATGTATGTCCAATCCAATGCATCTCCACTTTTTTCTTCTGTATATTTGTTGGGTGATAGGCTGTTGGTTCGTTGCCAGCCAGCCAGCCAACCAGAGTTGCTTATTCTTGTTATTCTGGCCACCTGATCTGATCTTCAGTATCGAGCGAGTGTAGGCGGCAGCTGTTCATGATGTATGTCTGTAGTTTGTTGGGAATGCTTTACGTAACGTGTCCAGTCTCTCAACCATCACATCAGAAGGACTGACTGACTTGACTGACATTAGTGCTAATAATATCTGGATCTTGTTCACGCTTTACGCTGAGTGCAGTGCTGTGCAGTGCAGTGCAGTGGAGTAAATTTCCACACTGATTATTTCAGACTAATGAAGGAAGACCTGTCTTGCTGTCTTTCCGATCCTGGCTGCTTCAGCATCCTCATCTGTGCCACCGCCGCCACCGTCTGTGGCTGAAACGATGCTGCCTAGGTAGGTAGGTAGGTGAAAGAGACAACTCCCTTCAGGTTTCTCCCCTTCATGATGACTGGTGCTTCTTGCTGCTGCTGTTGTTGTTTGGGTATCTTCATCACCTCTGTCTTCTCTGCGTTCACCTGAACGAAGTCGCGTCTTCCTTCGCTGCCTCGCCTCACCTCACCTCTTCTGTCAACTTGTTACTTTTCGCCTGTGCATCTTCGAGTTTGTGCCACAAGACATTAGACATAAATCATCATCGTTGACGAAATCTAAATCTTCTTTTGGAGTCTTTTCATCGGTCGGGCCAGCGTATGCCCATGTTTTCGCTTCTCACAGTTTGTTGCATGATGCAGTCGAGTCGATCACAATCAGGAAGATGATCGGTGATATTAGACGGCAACCTTGTCTTACTCCTACATACAAGTAAGTGAAGCAGTTTAATTTATTCTTATTATCCTTTTGGTTACATGATGTTTGAATTGTCGTAATTAGGCCTTCAAGGAAAGAAGCATTCATTTTCCTATGATTTACTATTTCATTGCTTAAAAATAGTTGTTACTTGTATTACTGTTGTTCGAAATTCAACGGCTTATGTGTGTTGTAGATTCATTTAACTGTTATAGATGCTGTAAAGTATTTTGAAGTGAATAGGGATTTTTTGAGGTAGGATTCATCGCAAATTGATAGAGGTAAGAAACTGTGGATCATGGAATACCGTATACGTTCGCCGCGAAACCTGAAGATCCTGAGTCCGATCTCTAGCCAGGTCTTGAGTGCATCCTGCCATACTAAGACAAAACAGTTATCCTATCCTCTCAAGTTTCTACTGGTTTTCTAAGTGATGTCATTTGGTCATGGATGGTGTCCCAAAAATGTATCCATATATAACTATCGATATGAATTTATTCTACTCCACAGAAATCCACTGGCCTTTGCCAACTTACGCCATCTGTGGCACAGCCCCAATATCCGATTGTTGATTAAGGCTCGCGTGTACTGCACACCAGTCTACTCTGTTCTACTGTATGTCTGTGAAACATGGCCATCGAAGCTGGAAGACATGAGAAGGTTGGCTTCAGGTGTTTGACCACTGTCGCCTTCGTAGTATACGCCATATTCCGTGATGTCATCACGTGAATGACGCAGAAGTGAGGTGTAGAGTTTTAGGAGGAAGAGGCAAGTCAGTTGATGTGGTTGTGAACCTTCATCGACTGAGATGGTTGTAACATGTGTTACGTATGTGAAGTCGCCGTCTGCCTCGTCACACAATGTTGGCCGAAGTAGGTTCAGGGTGGAATAAGGCCAGAGGTGGCGGCCAGACTAAAACATGACATCAATGTATGAAGTGTTTGACTGTTGGTTTGAGCCATGTGGGGGCGATACAGACTGGGTGGTTGAAGTTCGTGGGACAAGAGGAGCCAGTGGTTGGAGACTGTATGTGTTGTGTTGATCTGGGTGAGAAGCGATGTGAGTGGCGCAGATGTGATGTATGCACACATTATTCTCATGTTAACGACGCTATACCGAATCTCACCATTTCCTCATTCTTCCCTTCTCTCTTTTAGTACTTCACATTTCTTTTCTCCATCTTCATCTTCCACTTGATTGCTTGCTTGCTTTGTTGCATGATGTGGTGTGGTGTGGTGTAGTGATATGAGATGGGGTGAGGTGTGGCAACTCGGACCGTTACGCAGTAATGCCTGGTCTTATGTTGATAGATGATGATGACATCAGTTCCCTGGAGGTTGCAGATACGCCTTGCTGACGAGTGTCAACTAGTATGAAGCCTAAGTCAATCAGTAGGCCTTTCTGTTGATTACTTCCAACCAAATAACGTTCATCAAATCCCAGTGCCTGGTCTTATGTTGATAATGATGATTACTCTACAGAAATGTACTGATCTAGCTCTAATATTGTTACTTGGATAACGCTCTGACGTTTGAAGCGATCGGTTTTGGCTTCGAGTGTTGGTGAGAAAAATATCGCTCACTGAGAGGCAGATACACCCAGGTGACGAGTCCCAAACAAGACGAAATGCACGTCCTGGATCCCACTGTTAGCCACTATCTATCATTAACATCTGATCTAACTCTATTACAAGTTGATCATAACAATGAAGAACATTCGTAGCTCATGAGGATGATACTGTTAGTTCTGCCAGCTTCACAATGGATGTTTTAACAATATGTAGTGATTATTGGTTACTGAAAAGTAACCAATTTCATGTTGTCTAATCCTGAGTACTGATAGGATTCTATCGATCATTTTGTAATGTGGTTGCCAAGCTAGGCAACCAACCATCCGGTGCACTTTGATTGGCGTTGGTGAGGCAATCGGCAAGAAGCTTCACTGATTGACCTAAGTTTTGTGCTTGTTTAGCACTCATCAGGAAAGCGTATCGATAATACTTCACAATCTGATTATCAAAACTGTTACAAAAAACAAGGATTATTTCTTCTAGTTGTGATTTACGCCTATGATTAATAATATATTGAATTCTCTGGAAGATTAATGTAATAGTATGAGGTATTTACAAGATTGTAGTCATTGTTTAGTACTGAATCATCATGGAATTTAGGAATCCAATAATGTTCGTTAACCGTGCATAAATGCACATGACTGAAATTACTTCCATAAATCGATACAATCTTCTCCTGATACACACATATATTATGACTTGTAATATATTGCTTCAATACTGTTGTTGTTGTTTTTTACTATAACAGATATGCGCTGTTGCACACATGAAAATATAATCGTATATTATTAACTGTGAAACATAGTACTATTAAAGGCGCATATTTTTTGGAATGGTTAATTTAGCCTCTTCTTCTTCTACAGCAGTTGATCAGTTTGTGAAATAAGAATCAACTGATCCAATGATAAACGATTAGTAGTTCAGA